ATGTTACATCCTAGAATCTTAATTTAACATGTTCTAAAAATTGTACTATATAAATTATTATGTTACATCCTAGAAAATTATATTAATTAAGCGTTAGATAATATCATGTTACGAGTTACAAATTATTATATTACATCCTAGAATTAATTATCTTAATTTAACATGTTCTAAAAATTGTACTATATAGCAGGAGTCATGGGAAGATTTTGGAGGAGATGGTGTTGATTACAGTGAGCGTTTCGATACATCTTCATTCTATAGTAGTGCTCAGGAGGCTATTGAAGCTGCAAAACACCAGGCAATGCTGAATGGTTTTCAATTAATTATTTCGAGCCACAAAAAGAAAACGGTCAGAGTTTTGAAGTGCCATAGAGGCGAACGGTACAGAGGCACAGGCGGAAATTCTAGAAGGACAAAAACGAATAAGTGCGGTTGCAAATTTGAGATCAAAGTAAAAAAGTTGTCCAGCGTTCCATACTGGAGGATCTGCAGATGTAGCAATGAAGAGAAAAGCTACCATAACCATGCATTTGCTGTGTATCCTGAGGGTCATAGCNAAAAGTTGTCCGGCGTTCCATACTGGAGGATCTGCAGATGTAGCAATGAAGAGAAAAGCTACCATAACCATGCATTTGCTGTGTATCCGGAGGGTCATAGCCAGTTGAGCGGTCTCAGCGCTTCATCTAAGAGAATTGTTCGTGAAATGACGGACGCTCAGGTGGCCCCGAAAAAAATTATGGCCGCGCTGAAGGAAAAGAATCCGGGAGACAACGTTCATGTGCGGCAGGTATATATATTTATATCTTGTAATATATGTTTTAATTAAATTTTTTAAGTTATAATATATGTTTTAATTAAATTTTTTAAGTTAATTATGATAATTAGTAATTTTTTATATGTAAAAGTTATTGTAATAATTAATAAATTTTATTATATTTAGTAATGTATTACTATTGTGATAGTTAATAATTTTTTTATCAAATTAATCGCATTAATAATTTTATACTTTTTTATTAATATAATAAAATTTTTGTTTTAAATTACAATAATCATTATAATTAACGCTAATCGGTGACAGGTATATAACTATAGAAATAAGCTGCGGAGAGAGGATTCCGACGGTAGAGACGTTCCTACTCAGCTTATGCATTTGGCCGTGAGCAGCCAGTATACAGTTTATGTAGAATCCGATCCGAACACGAAAGTGCTTACGCATATATTCATGGCCCATCCTGCGTCGATCAATCTATTCCGGACATATCACTGGTATGTCGGTATAGATTCCACGTATAAAACCANACGTATAAAACCAACAGGTATGTTACTTTATAAATACTTTATTAGTATGAATCTTAAATAGTGTGTTTGATTAAGTTAAGTTTTATGTACTTATATTTTTTTTTTCTTGGTTACATTTGCACAGGTACAAGATGCCGTTCGTCGAGATGATTGGGATGACGCCGTGCAACCAGAACTTCCTGATTGCGTATGCCCTCATCAGGGACGAGAAAGAGACCAGTTACGACTGGGTTCTAGAGAAGTTGAGACTCCTGATAGGCCAAAGCGTATATCCTTATGTNTAGGCCAAAGCGTATATCCTTATGTTGTTGTCAGTGACAGAGAGTTGGGTCTACTCACTCCTATTCAGAGGCATTTTCCTGAATCAGCCCACTTACTCTGCACGTGGCACATCAACAAGGATGTGGAAGCCAGAACCTACCACCTATTTGGGAAGAATAAAATATTCTCGGAGATTTTCACGCACAGTACGTGGAAGGCGATTGCAGAGGCCAGTACGTTCGATGCCTACAACGATGCCGTTGCCGAGCTG